ATTTTTATGGAAACTTTTAACAAAATAAACCAAACAAAAGAAACCAAAATAGAACAAAGAAGAAGAAATGAAAAAGCAAAAAGTGCAAAAAAGTATATAAAAAATTAACAATATGTAAAGAAAGATATAAAGAAGTGGCTTTTGAACTTCTCCACAGCAGTTATCTAAAGTTTCATCATGAGCCTTTTTTCTATAATCTATCCTAACTGATCAACAAAACCAAAAATCACGAGTTCATTTTTTTTTCTTTTTGCCTTAAAATGTCCACAAAGGTTTTCTAGTAACTGATAAAACGACGTAGTTATTATCCTTTCTCTAATTGAACAAATCAATTGAGCCATTTCAGCAGGTTCTGCCACCTTCACAACTATCCCAAAGGTGCTTTTAAAAAGGCAACTTGACTTTCTTGGAGTTTTTTTTTTCCTTGAAAACGTTTCACTTCTAATCCAAAAAGCTTCTTCAGTTCAACTTCTTGAACAAGAAGCAAAATGCTTTTAAGGAAAAAAAAAACCCAAGAAAGTCCAGTTGTCTTTTGAAAAGCACCTTTGGGACAAGCATGACCTAGATGACTGAGAATCTCCATAGACATCTTCACAAGTAATTCTTTTATTGTGCATCATTTTACCGCTGCATTGCTCCAGTGGCTGCTTTCATACACCACCTAGAGCAGTGGCCCCAAATCTTTTGGGCACCAGGGACCGCTTCCATGGTGGAGAGATATTTTTCCATGGCCCGGAGGGGGCATGGCTTTACGTGCTGCCTGCATCCCATGGATGGAGCTTCGCTTGTTTGCACAGCCTGATTTCTGGCATGCTGCAGCCTGGTGCCAGTCCATGGACCAGGGGTTGGGGACCCCTGACCTTGAGTGACCTTGCTCAAAATATTCCTACAGAGAAGGGAGTTTCAGGTTCTTCACTGACTCTCCAATATACTAAAATACAGAGTTTGGGGGGGGGTATCACTCGGAGAGTGTCATAAATACAGTATCACTAAATGAAGTTTCCCTCAATCTCCCTTTTCTCTTGATCCAAGTTTTCACCCCAGAAGTCATTTTCTGGGTTTGAATCTATTGCTCGCTACGTTTTGCTTTCCAACCCAACTCCTCTTTCGAACCTTCTAAACATCTACTAGCCCTATTTAAGTCAAGAGCCATTGAACCTTCTCTCAGAGCCAGACGCTCAAATGAGCTATAGTGGCGGTTTTAAAAGCTGCAGGCGAACAACGTTGAAGACGCAACACGGAATGGAAACAAAAGGCTTCTATAAATCAGACCAAATAATCCTGCAGCTCTGTAAAAAAGATTTGGTTCTCTCCAAAGACTTGAGCGGTTCCACTTCAAATTGCAGGGTCTCGGCTGATATAGCAAAATGCCCCTTCATATAAAACATCCCTTCCTAAAGAAAACAAGAGATCAAGACAACCGTAAACCTTCGTTTTCCATTCTGGATTTCCCTGTGCAGGCAGTGTTTTTTGTATACTGTAGAGAAGATTCCCAGACTGACATATTATAGCCCAAAGACAGTTTTACTGCCCTGAAAAAGTATGTCTAAGTCATTACGATACCAGTAAGAGGCCATATGCAGCTTCAAAGACCACGGCAATCTAAACTACCCTAATTCAATAACTTAATCTGAAATGGGAAGTATATTCCACTTCAATGCAAGGGGGAAGCTGGTTGTGCCTGCAACACACACCACAAGTGCCATCTGTTGAGACACTATCACAAGCAGCATCAATCATACTGTTTACAACTGGGTCAACAAAGCTGAGAAGGCAAATACAGCTGCTTGTTGCATATATATGAGAAGAAGTACTATCTATATAAGTACAGATAAGGGGGAAGAGCAGAAGTTGTACTTAAGTCTAGTAGCCAAAAGCCTGTCATAATGTGTATACACACTGCTGTACAAACAGGGCAATAATATGGCATATATCAAGCCCAGCTCTGCTGTATATTTAAAACCCACCCCAATTCATTTAACCAAATATGGTTGGGTTGAATGGGGCCTATTTTATCTTTGACCAGCACTGCTACAACACAGAGATAATTTTGACTTTCTCAGCACAATATCCATCAGCAATGGATACCCTCCAGAAGTACAGCTCACGTAATTGCTGTCTGTGTTGTGTGGAAATTATAGAAATGGAAAGACCATCCTTTGGAAAGCTTGAGATCGGCAGTCTCTGCTGTAGATGGTTTCAGAAAAGTGGGATATAAAGTTGACAAAATATAGAAATATATGCCTATGTACATACAAGAATCATAGCTGGATTTCTAATCAGACATTTTTAAAGCAGCCACAAGAGGTAAATTAGGACAGTAGCTTTGGGCAATTGGCCTCTTGACTTTCTTCAACTCAACCCCTTATCAAAGACAATCAGATCTGAGTTGTCATATGCCACCATACTTTAGGTTCTGGGAATAATTCCCAAGTTTAAGGGCACTTAACTCTGTTCCCCAAATACCATTTCAGTGCTTACACACACACACACTGATACTAGCATATAAATAAAGGTTACTGACCTCCGGAATGGACACTTATTAAGAAAATAGAAAGGAAAGCAGTCAACTATTTGCAATTACAAAAATTTAGAATCTAAGTGGTCCCAAAATCAGGTCACATGATTCCATATTTTTGTCTTGCTGGTTAGGGAATTAGATGACTGAGGTCCAAAGAGCACCAGATCTGGCTTGATTTATGCTATCTGAATAGTATTTAGACATCTCCCCATGCTTACAGGCTGGGTATTACCTATTCCTGAACTGAGATCTTATTTGTATAACAGATGAGATTCCTCCCTTCCTTTGTTTTTCCACAGGGCTCTTTCAATAATTAAATTAACCTGAGGTCTCTACCCTGCTAACCTTGTTCTCACTGTAAAAGCAAAAAAGGACTAGTTCCCCAGGGCCTAATAAATTGCTTTGCTCAATCTAGGCAATGGCTCGTTCTAGGCTAGCATCCTTCCATTGCCAAAGGCCAGATGGGATGTCTAGAAACCCACAAACTGGTTGCACAGACCTCTGTGATTCTACTGGAAGCCTGAAAATTGGAGAAATAGCTCTAGAGGCTGAATCTCTAGCAATCTCCTCTGCTCTACCTTGATCTCGTGATCTGATCCAGAAGCATCTTTACAGCATCGTTCAAAAACAGCTGCACTGTATCAAAGGTTGCGGCACTGCTTTTATTCATCTGTCAAGTCAAGTCATCATCCTGTTGGAAATTCTGGACGTCACCCAAAATGGGATAAGAAGGACCACCCAAAATGAAAAGAGGCCAAGCAGAGCAAACTGTCCTTCAGGAGTCTCAACGCTGGAGACCACTTCCATCACCCCCAGACAGAAGGGAAGCCCTAAGCAGCAGACAGGAGCTCAACCCAGCCTTGCCAGTTGTCTCAATGCTCCTCATTTTAACATTAGGACACAAGAGTTTACAGGTTGTCAGTCCCCTAACATGCATCGAAATCTGAAACAGAGGAATCGGGTTTCAATCAGGAAACCCAAACAAGGACCTGAAGTTTATTATAATCCTGCACCTAAGGACAGAACCCTCCAACAGTCACTCCTCTATACTCAAAATATTGTCCTATTTCTATATGTTGGGTGAACTAATTATAATTACTTTAATTCTAAAAAAAAAAAGGCTTGGCTACAGATTCTGGGTACTTTGGGAATGGGGTTGTTGTTAGTTGCGAAGTTGTGTCCGACCCATCGCGATCCCATGGACAACATTCCTCCAGGCCTTCCTGTCCTCTACCATCCCCCGGAGTCCATTTAGGTTCACACCTACGGCTTCAGTGACTCCATCCAGCCACCTCGTTCTCTGTCCTCCCTTTCTTCTTTTGCCCTCAATCGTTCCCAGCATTAGGCTCTTCTCCAGTCAGTCCTTCCTTCTCATTAGGTGGCCAAAGTATTTTGAGTTTCGTGGGATGGGGGTAAATGACAGCAAATGATATTTGCTAGTCTGCTTCTGTTTGGGACAAATCCTGCACCTGCTCTCCACTGGATCCCTGTCAGGATCCCTTTCAAACACACAAGGGAAAGAACTCAAGGCTGATCTATTCAAATGGCTTCAGGTGGGCTGTTTTTCCAAGGTCCTCTTGTGGTAAGATTTTTAAAGGGGAACTTCAGTTCCCGGATCCCGGGAACTCCATTCGTCCCCCGCATCCCGAAAAGCCCTACTTGCCCCTTTCCCTGCGCCGGACTCACCGGTTCAGCCCAGCCCCCTCCCAGGGACTCCCGCGGAGCTTTACTGCGCTCAAACAAAGGTGCAGAGATTTCGCCTCGCCGGCGAAAGTGAGAACAGCTGCGGGATTTTTTTTTTTTTTTGCAAACACACCGAAGTTTTCCGCTTCGGGAACGAGTCGTTTTCCGCCCACCCGACCCCACGCAACAGTTCCTTGCGGGAACCCAAAGGCGCTTTTTTCTACAAGAGGCAACTGGACTTTCTGTTTTTTTTTTTCTTTGAAGACGTTTCGCTTCTCCTCCAAGAAGCTTCTTCAGCTTCCGAAGAAAGTCCAGCTGCCTCTTGGGGAATAAAAAGCACCTTTGGGGACAAAAGCTGGATGACAGAGAATATCCAGAGACCTTCCTTACGGGAACAACAACTCCTCCTCCCCTCCCCCCACCCCGCCCAGTAACGGGAAGACGCTGCTCCCAACTCCGCGCACCTTCCAGAGTGCCATCCCAACTCGCACGTTGCTACAAAGATGCGCGCCGAAGAAAAGCAGATCCAAAGCCAGATCCTGAATAAAGCCCGCGCCCAGAACAAGCCCCTTCCCCCCACGCCTGCCCTGCCTCCTGCGCAGCGCCCGAGAGGACGCCTACACGTGTTGCGTTCCCGGGAAGAGAGCGCAACGTGTGAACGCGGGCAGAGCTTCATCTCGGCTATGTTCGGTTCCAGAAACCGCGGCGCAACAACCCCCAGCCGCCGCCGCCCCTCGAGGACCCCGGCTATGGGAACCAGCCAGATCCCCGCTTGGAGCTGCCTTGCTCGCCCTACCTGCATCTGGCGACGCCCAGCCGGCGATGCTGCTGCTTCGGCCGCCACTCTCGAATTAGTCCCGGCGGTGCGGCGCGGCAGGTGAGTCGTTGGCTGGGCGGGCGGACGAGGAGGAGGAGGGCGCCCGGCCAGACGAGGCAAGGTCAAGGCGGGAGGCCGCGGAGCCGGCGGATTGGGCCGCCTCTGGCTGAGTTCTTCTCTGCCCCGATCGCCTCGCTTTGGGCCCCCGATTGGCTTCTGCCCGTGAGGGATTCCCGCTCGACCCCCGGCACGCAGCTCAGACGGGCCGCTGAAGTTTTAGCCGCTGCTGCAGCCGCGACGGAGCGCGCGGAGTTGTGGCTTGCATCGCAGGCAGGCAGGCAGGCGTGGCGATCCCGGGGGCTCCGAAAAGAGGCTCCGGCCCGCCTCCCCTCACGCCCCGCGCCCGCCTCTCCTCCCTTCCCACAGGAGCGGCGCCCCCGCCCCCCCCCCACACACACCCCCCCACCCCCCCCCCCCAGTCTCGCCCCCCCTGGGCACCCCCCCGGGGGCCCCCCCCCCCCCCCCCCCCCCCCAACCAGGCACCTTCGCCCTCCCGCTGCCCCGCCCGATCCTGAGGTCCTCCCAGTGCAACCTGAAATCGCTCTTCCTTTTCCCACCCACCCCCACCGCCCCGTAGCTACCGGTTCCTTCTGAACAGGGGGCTCCAACCTTGGCCACTTTAAGCCTGGAGGACTTCAATTCCCAGAATTCCCCAGCCAGCAAAGCTGGCTGGGGAATTCTGGGAGTTGAAGTCCTCCATGCTTATAAAGTGACCAAGGTTGCTGTCTGGGGAATTCTGGGAGTTGAAATCCTCCAGGCTTATAAAGTGGCCAAGGTTGCTGGCTGGGGAATTCTGGGAGTTGAAGTCCTCCAGGCTTATAAAGTGGCCAAGGTTGCTGGCTGGGGAATTCTGGGAGTTGAAGTCCTCCAGGCTTATAAAGTGGCCAAGGTTGCTGGCTGGGGAATTCTGGGAGTTGAAGTCCTCCAGGCTTATAAAGTGGCCAAGGTTGCTGGTAATGGGCACCGTTTTTTCCAAACCCTTGGAGTGTTTGCTGCCTACGCCTGTCGTTTTTTGGCTCTCCTGACCAATCCCTCATTTTTTTCTCCTTGTCCGCAGCGCCTGGCTTCCTTTCCTGGATCCCCTCCACTCTTCCTGTGGGATCTTCTCCCCTTTTCCCCGGTCTCATTTGAAACAGCAACAGGTTCACGCAGACGCAGCCACTCACCCCAGTGATTCCCCCCCCCCCAGTTTATTCCACGAACCCATGTCCGATTCCTTTGATTTCCCCCATTGGGACAGGCAACTGGTCCTTGTCTTGAGGGGAACCGTTGATGCAGGCAGAGGCAGAGTCGGGGGTCTCCCCCTCCGTCCTTTGCCCCTGACCCCACCTGGCTCTCTGCTCGGCTCTTTCTCAGAGCAGAAGGCGGCCGAGACACGATTTCCCCCCAATCTCAGCTTAATGATCAGAGCTGCACAAACTGCAGTTTAACAAAATAGTTTTCTTCTTCTCCTTCTCCTTCTTCTTCTCCTCCTTCTCCCCCTTCCCCTCCCCTTCTCCTCCTTCCTCTTCCTCTTCTTCTCCTCCTCCCCCCTCCTCTCCCCTTCTTCCTCTTCCTCCCCCTCCCCTTCTTCTTCTCCTTCTCTTCCTCCTTCTCTCCCTCCCCCTCCCCTTCTTCTTCTTCCTCTTCCTCTCCTCCTCCTCCTCCCCCCTCCCCTCTCCTTCCTCTTCCTCCCCCTCTCCTTCTTCTTCTTCTCCTTCTCCTCCTCCTTCTCCCCCTCTCCTCCTTCTTCTTCCTCTTCTCCTCCTCCTCCTCCTCCCCCCTCCCATCCCCTTCTTCCTCTTTCTCCCCCTCCCCCTCCCCTTCTTCTCCTTCTTCTTCCTCTTCCTCTTCTTCTTCTTCTCCTCCTCCTCCTTCCCCCTCCCAACCCCTTCTTCCTCTTCCTCCCCCTCCCCTTCTCCTCCTCCTCCTCCTCCTCCTCCTCCTTCTTGCATCGGAGAAGATATCTTGCTTAAACGTTCCTCCTCCTCCTTCTTCCTTCTCCTCCTCCTCCTCCCCTTCTTCTTCCTCTTCCTCTTCCTCTTGCATTGGAGAAGATAACTTGCTTAAATGTTGGGTGGTGACAATGATTTTTAAGTACTGTACAAGCTCCAAGGATTATGTGGCACTTTAAAAGAAACCATGTTGGAAGAGGGCAGCCCATAGTGATGTCCTCTCAGCAGCCATTCTCCTGCCAGCAACAATAGAAATAAAAGTTAATGATTCGTAAAATAGCAAATAAAGAATTTATTTGGAAATTAGAATGATCCTGCCACTGCTTGCAGTTAGAACCAGTGACAAATCCAAATGTAACTCCCAGGGTCCCAGCTGCCCTAAACGACGAACTTGAGGCTATCCTGGCAGTCCTAGGCAATGTTCAATCCTAAATAAGCATTTCTAACTTTAACTGGAGTCACTTTTTCATGGGCATGTTAGCATGCTGGACAATAATGAATGTTAAAATCTGTTCTGATTTCACTTGTCAATATTTAAGGTACTCTTTTGGTCCAGAATCCATTACTGTTGTCAAAGAAGCATGTAAATTATAAGCAGAGAACATCTTCTTACCACATGCACTTAAAGCAAGTGTCTTCTTGTGTTCTCCATTACACTGATGTGTTTCACAGCTTAAGTTCCTGCAACAACTCCGGTAGCACTGTGTCACTTTACGCCCAGGTACTTGGGCTCAGCCTGGTAACAGATGAGTGGGTTTCCGTTTACCTGTTACAAAATGAAGCATTACTGATTTTGCAGGACGATGGTGGTTTCCAAGCAGCTGGCTAGGAAGGGAAAGTCCCCTTGTGCCTACATTGTTTCCAGCGATCTGTTCAGGACAGTATGGAGGGATCTATGTGTGAAAGATAGCTGGGGAGAATTAATGTGGTTTGTTATTTTGAAACGTGATCAGCGCCATATACATATAAACATATTCAAATGTATACAGCAAAAAATACCCTGAATAGAATGGAAGTATATTCTACTACACCAGGGGTCTGCAACCTTAAATACTCAAAAGAGCCATTTGGACCCGTTTCCCACAGAAAAGAAAACACAGGGAGCCACAAAGCCTGGGTGGGGTGGCCAACTCGATGTCACTCACTTCCACTAGTCACATGACCCCGCCCCCCCAGCCACGCCTACCCAGCCGGTCATTAGGGCAGAGAACCATTTGTTAAAAAACACCGGGAAGCACAAAATCCTTTTGACATTTCTCTCTCTCCCCCTCCCTCCCTCTCCCCTCCCTCGCTCCCCTCCTCTCTCCCTCTCTCTCTATCTCTCTGTCTCTGCCCTGGCCGCTTCTCCATCCCCTGCTGTCGCCCTTACCTTCTCAAGAGGAGGCGAGGAGTGACTAGGAGGGGAGGGCAAGGGGCGGGGCCAGCCAATGGTAGGCTCACCTGACAGGGAGCCACAGTAGAGGGCCCAAAGAGCTGCATGCGGCTCCGGAGCCGCAGGTTGCAGACCTCTGTTCTACATCATGACAGCATACTATCAACTCTTACTTTTACAATACAGAACTGATGCGCTGTGCTAGTAACTACTTGCACATAGCAATTTACAACATCAGCTTTTCCATTATTTTTTTTTCAGGTGAATTTTCAGAGGGTTTTTTTTAGCTGAATTTTGTACAGTGAGTGTGTTTTACTTTTTGTCGTTTACTTTGTATAAGCAACAACAAAATATGTTTGGTTGCATCCCATCCTTATAGTGATAAACAGATTATACTTCAATAAACCTATTTTTTATATCCTTAATTCTTCTGTGATGACACAGATATTTTGTGATTAAAGTAGTTGTCAGCATCTGAGAAAATAATTCTAATGTAAAGTTGTAATTCTAATTCTGCACTCAATTCCTTAACTTCCAAAATTATGTGGTGTTGTTTTTAAACAGCCAAATGATGTGGTGCTAGGATTCTAAAAAAAAACCCATATCTAATTTTCTCCAGAATTATTTCTAAATTTAATCTCAATCTCTCTCCCTCCCTCTGCCTTCCCTCCCCCTCCCTCTCTCTCTCCACATTTTTGAGAACCAAGCACTTCTGTGAATTCTGGAGTACAGTAATGATGAAAAGTGAGTCTTACAGGGGACCAGTAATTTTTTTAGGATTTTACCCACTTTCGGGAAGAGAGCATTTTGTTTTTATCCTATAGTTGTATATTTCCTAGGGATGAAAAACTGAAAAGACAATGTGGGATGGATGTGATCCTGGACCACAGATTTCCCACTCCTGCAATAGGAGAAGAGCAGGCCATCAGCTGAAGACCACAGCTGGGCTGAACCTTGTGGCTGGGATGCTGGGAGTTGTAGCACACAGGAAAAAGCTGCTTCGGTGTCTAATGCATGTTAACGTGTACAGCATCCGTCTGTAATGCATTGTATGTGCCAACAATCTGGATATATCTGCCTTCAGATTTCTGTCCTTATTAAATTTGTGCAAGCTAGAAACAGACACTCTGACTTCAGGCCAATCCATTCTAGCATGGAAAGTATGCTAAGTAATCTCAGATTCCTGAGACTCCGAGATTTTACTAACTGTTACTGGCAAATTTTTATGCCATTGCTATTAACTCTGCCAATTTTAAACAACTGGTTTATTTTATGAACTTCTAATTAGAGGTAAGTTTAACTAGTTTTTTAAATATGGCATTAGTAAGCAAGCCCTGTCAATAAAACAAAATTTGGTTCTAATTGTGTTGAAAGTGGAAACATTATACTTGCTTATGGACAGCCATTTGTCTATAATGGTATAGTTCAGTGATGGCTAAACTTTTTGCCATCACGTGCCAGGAGGGGGGGGGCAGGGGAGGTTTGCCTGTGTGTGCCACACCCATAATTCTATGTGCCTCGTCACGCACATGCGAGTGCGACCCCTCTTCCCCCCCCCCCCCCCCTGGCCCGCGATGGCGTGGTAGGCCCGTTTTTCTTTCTCACCTGGCTCCAGATCCTTTCTATGCATCTGGGGAGGGCGAAAACAGCCTTCCCCACCCCCTCGGAGGATGGAAGTTGAGAAACGGGCCGTTTCGGGCCTCCGAAGGCGTGGGGAAGACTGTTTTCGCCCTCCTCAGATGCATAGAGAGGATCTGGAGCCAGGGAGAAAGAAAAACGGGCCTTTCCCCCCCCCCAGGCCCTTTCTGGTGGGCCCAAAAGGGCCGAAAATCAGCTGACAGAGCTGAGCTGGCATGTCAGGCAACATGACTCCACGTGCCACCTGTGGCACGCATGCCATAGGTTCGCCATCACGGGTATAGTTGGACCAGTAGACCTCCAA